GTTGGCTTTTGTACACTTTACAATGTTCGCTTTCTTAGTTGAAAACTGGGGAAAAAAACGAAAGACGCTTCATGCATAAATGGAAAGTCAGTCAGTCAGTCAGTCAGCCAGTTTATGCGGCATTATAATTATAATTAACGCCTGTCAACGTCACTTGGCTAAAAGTATTTTAATGCATAAGTACGCTACACTGACAGAAAAAGAGTTGGAGATAATGGAACTATGCGATTCGGGTTAAAATTAGTTGTGGATGCCTTGGAAACAGGAATGTTGCATAACAAGTAATTGAAATGTTAAATGCGCTTTACCCTGATTTTGACATGGATACTTAAATAACAAGAAAGCATTTACAATTACAAATACTTAACCTGATTTGAAATACTTTTTAATCTGATTAAAGTTTCAAATTAAAACTTATTATTTAGTTAAGGAAGAATGTAGTAAAAACTTTTGACATTTCTTATATAAAAGGTTTAATATACTTCTTGTAAAGAGCTTATCTTATTAAGGCCTTAAATCAGTGAATAATCGAGTTTATGGGTTACGAGAAACAAGCAAGAAAACCTTTGATGAATACAACTTATAATTCGACTTGAAAAGACTTTTAAAAGCAGAATGAATAGAGACTGAAATGTATGGAAATCTATGAATTTATATGCAGCCCATTATGCTACACACTGGCGCTCATTATGTTAAATACACCTGTTCACTTTAATCTAATCAAAAATAATATTTCAAGTTATTTTCACTTCTTAGAAATTTGTCTAACCTGCTTTTGCTGCAGTTAAATTCTTTAAATGTGTCTCGAAAATGAGAATCCAAACGGGTTCAATTAAGATTCAAGTCGCATGGCAAGTGAAAAGAAACAAAAACAAACCCAAAAACCGAGAAAAAAGTGTTACAAATGTGACAGAATTTTTATGTTTACGAAAGTGGCTAAGAAGCAGTCAAGGCAACTTTAAGAAATGCACAAAAATTAACTACGAATATTAAAGAAAAGTGTGGCAAGTGCTGTCGAACCAGTCGGAATTCCCATTAAGTGTTGCATATCAGAAAAGATCCCGCAAAATAATTCGGTGCATACTTTTCGGCGTTCGCTAATTGGTATGGAATTTCTTATGGAATAAAAAAACGATTTATATGTACGAGTTGCTAAGTAACATATTTGCAATTAATGTTAGCACTGCAAAAAAAAAAATTACAATGAATATCTGTAAGTTGTTGTTACTTTTTTTTAGCGACTGAGGCATTGACACTGGCATTGAGACTGAAAGTCAAGTAGCAAAACAAGCATAAAAAAGTTCTACACAACAAATTCTTATTGAGAATAAAAACAATTTATTGTTGTTCATATAAGTTATTTATAGAATTAGTCATATTATTTAAATTTGTTTTTACTTTGATCTTTATCTCTATTCCAAAACCCGTTTCATTCCTGGCGCCATTTATTAATCAGCCATCATTAGACAGACTAATAAATTAATAAATTCCAAGAGCTACAATTTATAAAAAAAAAAACAACTAGTAAAAAAAATCACACGCAAAACTAATATGAATAACAAAATTTTTATTAAAATCAAAACTAGTTTGCGGAATTTTCGACAATCTTCTACAATAGTTTGAAATTTCGCAATGAATAATGAAGTCAGACATTAGGAAAATCAAACGCCAGACGGACTATCAATCAGCATTAAAAGCGAATACAAATTCCAGTTAGAGCTTGAGCTCGAATTAGATCTCAGCAGCAGCTGTCCAACACTGTCCAGAACTGTCAAACTTTCTACCGGCCAGCAGCTGTAAGATTTCTGGTTATTCTGCCATGCTGAAGCTTCTGGCCAAACGCGTGAGTTACTGTAAATCTCAACGAAAAACAAGAAAGAAAGCTCTAGTCGAGACAGCTCGACTACGAGATCCCCTGAACCCTACAAGCAACTGATATTTCAATAATAATTAGCAAACACACACGCACAC